GGAAGGAAGGAAGGAAGGAAAAGAAGGAAGGGAAAATGACCACAGAACCAAGAGACATAAGTTCCCTTGAGTGACTCACAGTAAACCTTGCATGTCCCGCGGACCCTTCCTGACACAGAGCACAGCTGAGCTGTGTGCCTGGCCATGACAATGAAGCCCGTTCCCACAGGATGTGAGGAGCGGATCTCCACAACACTTACAACAGTTTTAGAGGCCCTGGAGAAACTAGGTGGGAAAGTAAGTCATATGCAAATTACATTTCAGCAATATCATGAAAGAAACACTTCTCAACATCATGCAACCATTCCTAACGAGCTCTGATGGGTCTCTTGAGATTAAGAGGGTAGCAGGCCGGGTAGCAGACTCTGCTGAGCCCCATCTCAGACAACGTGAGCTCATTTCAGACCCCCCGACAGTGGCCAGCATCTAGCCACTGGCCTCCCGGACACCCTCCCCCGCACCACCCCCAGGTCCTTGTGACCTCCCCTCGTCCTCAGCGCTCTTGCTCACCTGGCCCAGCCTCCAACAGGAAAAAGATCCCCTCTAGGGACCCTCTTTGCTTCTCTTATTGGAAGGGACACATTGTTCATAGTTTTATCACTATTGTATACATGCTGCACCCCTTCAGGACTGTCTCCTCCTGGAGACAAGAGTAATGAGGTATCGTTCACTGCCTTAGGTGCCGTGGTTACCCACAATATGGCTCACAGGACAGAAACACAAGTATCACTTGGGAGCTTATTAGAAATGAAAGGTCAGCCAGGCATAGAGGCACATGCCTGTAATCCCAATACTTTGTGAGGCTGAGGCAGGAGAATCACAAGTTTGAGCCCAGCCTGGGCAATTTACCAAAACCCTGTCTCAAAACAAAAAGGGCTGAGGAAGTAGCTCAATATAAAGGCTCTGTATTCAATCCATAGCACTCAGAGAGAACAGGGGGATGGGGAGAGAAAGAATAAATGGAAGGTCTCCAGCCCCACCTCAAACTTACTTAATCAAGACCTGCTTTTTAATAAGCTACCTGTACAAGCCATCCATATATACATGAAGTCTGAGAAGGACTGTTAGAGCTAGGAAGTTGTCAACAGATATTTTTCACATAAGCCAAAGTCTATACAAGTCTGCCCCTCGCCCAGTCCTGGGCACAGCAGATGAGCAGGAGCTGGCATGAGCAACAAAACCAAACTCAAGCATGAGTGGGTAGCTCAGGACTAGGCTCAGTTGTCTCATCCAGGCACAAAGCAACATGCTCCAGACATGGCCTGTGTGTGTCATCTACAAGCCCAGGGCCACACGGCCAACACTGGGGACCTTTGCTACCCCTACACACCCTCCACCCAGCACCATCATACAATCTATTGACCTATAGAAAGAGGGGCAGGAGAATGTAAGAACCACTAACCCCCTCTCCTTCTCCATCCCACCCCCTCCGAACCCAACTGCAGTGGTACACACAGTGAGAAGACTGGGCAGCTTTGGCTCTGTGCATTTCTTTGAGTAGGATGTTCAATTTTCCATGGAAATCACTTCACCCTATAGAGCCCCAAGGCCAACAGTCCATGATGCCGTCAGTGGGAAATACCAGAATACAGGCCAAGAAGGTTAAATCTCTGAGACTTAAGCCCAACCCAGCTTCCAGAAGAACCCCTGAATCTATAGTCTATTTCCAGGCCAGTTCTGGGTTCCCAAACCAAAGCATCGCCAGGAGCATCTGTCAACCAACAGGTGTCTGGGGTGCCTAGGAGTCATTCTAAGGCCTCTCTCTCCCCACACCCGGGAGAGATGGGGTGAGATCTTGCAGTCAGCCTCTGTGGTCCTTAAGACTCTGCCCAGGCCCACCTCCCCTGAAGCTTCCTCCAGCTCCATCTACCTTTGTCCACTCAGCCCCATCTGTGTGTGCCTGGCATAACTCCTATTTTGCTGCCTCATTTTCATTGTTTTTTCTGTTTTCCCATCTGTGTTTCTGTTTGTTTTTCTGATCAGTTCCCCTATCTTCTGGCCTCAGGTTGTAATATTTCCTTTCTATCTTGTGTATGTCTAGCTGTGCACACAGACATGTAAGGCAGTTGACCCCCTTGGCACAGGCTGTCATCTCTTGAATTCATCCCAATTCTACTTCTGGTCCTGGAGGGTCTGAAGTCAAAAAACTTCCTTAAAGTTTCTAATGCTGGCACTGCAAGACCAGAGAGTGTGTCCACCTTTCTGTTCTATTGCTGACCTCACTGCCTGGCCCATCACAGGTGTTAAACAACTATTTCTGATGACCGAATGAATTACAAATATGCTATACATCAGCAAATGACAAGCTGACAATTTATTATGTAAGTACTCTGTCTATTTCTGGACATAACTATGTTCCAAAGGCTCACGAATGCTCATAAAGTGCTTTGAAATCTGCAAATAACAACATGGTAAGGTGAAGAGGTCAGCTGTTCCTGAATAGGGACATCAAAGAAGCCGACTGTACAGTTCACCAGGAGTACAGGAGGCAGAGGTGAGGAAGGAGGGGAAGGAAAAGGGCAAAGAGGAAATAATCAACAAACAAATTAAAACTCACCTTTATCATAATCATCATCTTCAATTGCTTTCTCCTGAAGTTTCTGAAGCTTTAATTTTAAGGATGTTGCCTGTATTGATTTTAAGGGAGGGAAAAACAAATACTAAATTACAATACCATTCAAACAAGCTCATTTTTTCACAGCTAAGAACACCTAGAAACTTTCAAAAGTGAACTTCTTCATTCTCTTTTTAAAAACACACACCCAAATGTACCTTTTTCCAATGCCAGATGCATTTGTTTCTCAAAAAAGAAAAAGTTATATCAAGGGAAAGTGTAATTTGAATGTAAAATCCCCCAAAAAGAATTAAAATACTATTTTAAACAAAAACACACTGTGCCCTGATCTGCATGCAGAGATGCACGGTAGGAAGGAAGACAGATTTGGCTGTCAAATGGGCCCTGTCGAGACATCACAGGAAAAACATGGAGACAAACACAGAGGAGCCAGCTTTCCTTGGCTTGGAAAAAATACCCGTCACCTGCAGCTTAAAAGAGGAGAGGGCAGTCCATGGTCAGCTGGCTCCAAAGCAAAAACAGCTCCATTTTACACAGGAGCCTCCTGAGGCACAGGAAGGGCATGGCAAAAGGTTGCCAGGGAGCAGAGTGAGAGCAGAGCAGAAGAGCGGATCTGGGGACACCCTTCCAGATCATCCCCCGGGGACCCGCCTCCAATCAGTGCCCTACACACACCTCCTAGTAGCACATTCAGCTAGGGGCTCATTGATAGATGCGTCCACTGATGAGTATAGCACCCCCATGGCCCCTTCACCTCCAAAAGCCCCACCTCTGAACACATGAGACCTTAGGGGACATTTTACCTCTAAACATAACACCAGCACTCAGGCTGACCAAAAGCCCAGATGAGCGCCCTTGGCCTTGGCATAAACAGGACAATAAAAGCAGGCATCTCTAACTGCCTCCTTCTTCACCTGCAGCGCCCACTGTCGGGAGTTTCCTGCTCCTTGGAAGAAGTCTGTGAGTCCCACTCTGACAGAGTGCTTTCTGCCACTCCACCCTACTCTGAATAAAGTGAATTCCTCCTCCACACCACTGATATTCACATGCCGGAATACAGCGCTAACACTGGTTGTGATTTCCCAGCCCTGCATTACACAGCCGCAGACCACAACTACAGATCAGCTATGTCCAGACGCTAGCATCTGAGACAGGATATGAGTTTAATACGACATGGGAAGAAGGGAGACTTGGTTTTCCTTTGACTCAAACACTTTCCATGAGAGCTATTTCTAGTGATGATGGCAATGTCAAGGAACCATGCTCGGCGCCAGCCCATCTGAAACATTTGTAGGTCTTAGCACATTTAACCCTGATCCTAAGGAGGAAAGTGCAGCTATGGTCTCCACTTTACAAAGAGCCTCCCAAGGCACAGGGCAATTAATTGCGTGGGTCACACAGCTGGGAAAGGAAAGCACCAGGCTACACAGACAGGTAGTATCACTAACCCACTGAGCTGCAGAGTTCTGGGAGACAGTTTATAAACATTCACATACCTGGGAGCCAGGACTAGGTTCCCCCAAGAATTCCAGCCTTGCAGATAGCACACAAACCAGCAGCAGCAGCCATACCTGATCTCCCAGGAAAAGCCTTCTGGAAGGTTATGACAGGTTAATTACTTCTAAACTGAGTGCAGACAATAAAGGGAAAAGGAGATGGGTATTTAGGGTTGGTACTGTTTCTTTCTAAAACTAAAACTCATGAACTCAGCTGGGCATGGTGGTGCACACCTATAATCCCAGCACTTGGGAGGCTGAGGCAGGAGGAGTACTGTGAGTTCAAGGCCAGCCTGAACTATATAATGAGACCCTGTCTCAAAAATAAATAAATAAATAAATAAATAAAACTCATCAACTCAAAAGACAAATCAAGCCACAATCCCTGAAAAAAAAAAAAACAAAGCCACAACCCCTGGAATTTCAGCTCACAGGCCCTCTACAGACCCAGTGGCTCACAGAGCTGACTTGAGAAGCCTAGAAAGAACAGGACCCAGACAGCCACATCTGCTTGGGGCCTCAGAGATCCTGGTGTATTCAGAGCTCCAGATCCTCAGGAAGACATGATCTATGTCTGGGTAAAGGAGTGTTAAAAGGGAGGAGAACCACCAGTACCACCGGAACCAAGAGGGCCAGCTCTGATGGACTGCCTCCCACTTCTTGTGGGACTGTTGCTCATGATATGTCAACTTAAATGGGTTAAGAAACACCTGGCAGATTAGTAAAGCACAGTTCCTGGTGTGTCTGTGGATGACTGACATGTAGACCAGCAAGTGGAGGGGGAAGACACCCCCCTGCCAGTTTTGAGTGGCATCAACCAATAGGTTTTTAGCCTGGAGGAAATAAAAAGGGAAAGGAAGTGTGCCCATTTTTAAGAGCTCCTGTCTTCCTGAGCAGGTTGGCCCCTTGCTGTCATTGCCTTTGGACATCTATCCCCAGTTTCTTCAGCCTTCCAATACAGACTCTCTTCCAACACATTAGTGACTGTCCAGGGAGCTTCCAGGCCTTCAACCAAGGACTGGCATTGCAGCCTTGATCCCTCTTGTTCTGTGGCTTCTTTCTTGGGCTGAGCAGCTACTGGCTCCTCCAGCTCTTCTGTGCACAATCACTGTGGACTCCCCTACCTCTGATCTTATAGTCCTACCAATAAATCCTCTTGCATAATTATACATACATTTTCTATTAATTCTGTTCCTCCAGAGAGCCCTTACCAATACACCTTACCAAGGCAAGCCTCTGTGTGAATATTTGCAGGGAACAAAGCTGGCCTTTACACTCATGTTCTAACTATTGCCTCACCTGAGTCAAAACTTGGATCTGCCAGGTAGAGAAATGCAGATATGTTGCTGGGATTTGTTTCAGTATCTCTGAAATACTGGAAAACTGCCTCTTAGAACAGGGAGAGTATCCCAGTGACAGCCTCCACCCACACCCTGGTCCTTTAAGTTCCTGTCTCTCAGATTCCTTCTCCCACCCAGGATACTCAATTAAGGAAACCGTCAGGTATCTGTGGCCTATCTTCATGAGATTAATTACTTCGCTGAAAAACATTATTTGAGCCCCTGCTGAGGGCCAGGAAACACTAGGCATTGGGCATCTGCACTGTCTAGGAGAAGCGTTTGTGGCTGTAGAGCTCACAACTATATAGGGGCATGGACCACAGACAAACCATGAGTGACAGTGGCTAGTGCTGTAGTGGGTAGGCCTTGGGGCTACGGAAATGGAGTGAAAGGAGGGGTTCATTTGGTCTAGAAGGCAGGAAAGTTCTCCCAAGAAAGTGGTTGAGGATCTGCACTAAACAAGGAACAAGGTGGGGGGGGGCGTCACTGTAAGCAGAGGGAAGTGGAGAGCAAAGGCAGGAGGCACAGCTTTCCCTGCCATCAGTTAAGGAGGGGTTGAGGCCCTAGGACCCAAGCAAGGAAGGTCTCAATTGTTAGGATAAGGAGCCAAATACTGCCCTAGAGCAGAACAGAACCAACAAAGACTGCAAGCACAGGATAGCACACCCACCAGCACTGCAGAAGCCAACCCTACGGGCCCCACTGAAGGTGAAGTAAGTGGGGAGGAGACATGGAGAAAATAGACTGGATCAAGAATTCCTTGCAAAACCTCCACAAAAGCTACGGAAGGTCTGAGCCAGGGAAGTGGCCGTGGCCAAGGGTTGCAGGTCAGTGGCACTGGATAGAGGGGGCTCGGAGATTGGTGGGGTGGGGGTGAGGATGTGGAAGACGCTGTGGCTCTGGCCAAGGAGCTGAATGGATTTGGTCCATTCAAATCTTCACAGGTGATGCCCTCAGAACAGGTGTGGTGGGAGGACTCCAAGCACCTCCCAGAGGGTAGGTCACATCTCTGCCTGATTGTATGCTCTCCCTGAGTCACAAATCAGTGGGCAGCTAAGATCCATGGGGGCCAAACAGGACAAACAGGGATGTGAAAGGGGACACCACGCTATAGGAACAGAACAGGAAGCAGATGAGATGTATCTGCAAAGAACAACTTGGACTTTAAAACTGCTAGATTCTCCTTCCAAATGCTACATGAGTAGATATTCTACCTCCTGCTCCTGTGTATATGTGCAAGCACATTTAGACACACCATTTAAGACTCACTGACCCACTAGGGTCAGTCTCAGACGTCCTTACATGGTTTCTCTGGAAGCTGCTTAGAGTGGAACAGCTCTGCCCCTTCTGGCTATAGCCACCTCTCAGAGGCCAGCAGCAACATGAGGCCAGGCATGTACCTTTCCAACTCCAAAGCACCTACTTTCTCCTTCAAGCCTCTGAGCAGTCCTGTGAGGTGGTTCTGCCTCTCAGTCAGGAAACTGAAAGCCAGAGGTGTTTAATGGCCAGAAACCAAGTCTCCCGGCTCTGTGGAGGGCGACTCTCTCCGCATGGGGCAGAGTAGGGTAAGGGAAGCAGGGGCAGGTAAAAATCAGGGTCCCAATGAAGGAAGTCCCTGATTCTATACCCTGCACCTTTCTAAACTTTGACCAGCTGTCTCCTCTCCCTCACTTTCCTGTTTCAAAGTCAAGCTAAGCTGAGCAAACCACATCTCACTTGGCCCAGGAACTACAGAGAAGCCAGCACCTCAGTGGAGAACAAATCTCTGTACCTAGCCACAAAGATGGAAAGGAGAGCTTCTGCATACAGGCTGGGAAAAGAGACAGTGCAGACACCTCTGCAGCCCATCACCAGCACAGGAGCTACTGCAGACTCCAAGGGACATCAGCCAGCCACCACGCTCCCTCCCCACCCTAAGCCCAGTGCCATCCTGAGCTTTCAGCCATGACCAGCATGGTGGAGACACTGACCTCTAGCTGCCTCAAGCTGCTCTGCAGACAGTCATGCAACACAGGTTCCCATCTCCTGAGCAGGGCATCCCAACCATGAGCATATGCTGAGCCACGGCCCTTGTCACCACAACGGCCAGGCAGCACGGGCCCCTGGGAAGAGCCAATGTCAAGGTCCAGGGAAGAAAGCAGGTCCCACTCTGGCCAGAAGCTGCTCCTTGTCTCCTGGGCCAAGTCTGCAGAGCCCTGGGTAGCTGTGCGACTGAAGGACCCTGAGAGACATCCAGGGTCTTCCCGGGGCCTGTCTGAGCTGGCAGCCACAGCTCCCATGTCTGGACAGCTTCGATGAGAGGACTCATCCTCTCTGGATGGCGGGCAGCCTTCCGCCTCTCCACGTTCCCCCACAGAGCTGAGAGAGAGCTGAATGAAGCTGAAGCTGGAGGCAAAGGCTTCATGGAGACCGGAAGAGGCTGGCGGTGTGAAGGGGCTGCTCTGGAGCCTGCAGCTACTGCCACTCGCTTCTGCTGGTGCCGGAGAGTTTGTGGCCTGGGCGCCTCTTGCTCCTTCATTGCAAGCTGCATCCTGGCTAGGGACTGGGGCCTCGCCACTGTCCATAGACAGACACTCTCGTGGAAGCCCAGTGTCCCCAGAGCTGTACAGCCTGTCCGTAAGCCTGGTGCCTGCTTTGAGCTGAACCCCAAGGTGCACTGGGATCTCAGCTGCTCTGCTCACTTGACTTAGGTGGCCCACAGAGACCACAGCAGCGGCTGGTGAGCTCTTGGAAACGGGACTCCCCAAAGAGGGGCCTCGACATTGGCCACTCAGGTCACGGGCACTGTGCCCAGCCCCGGATGCAGAGTGATGGAACGCCTCACCACTCACCCCTCCCGGGACACAGAATGGTGTGTTGGCCACTGCAGGGAGGAACCCGATCCCAGGCCCAGGTGTGTTTCTCATGTAGCCCGGCCTCCGTGCCAACCGCCGCCTCCGAGGGCACGCCGCAGGCGCTGAGCACTCCCAGGCACCTGAAAGAGAAGAGAAAACACAGTGTCTCACTGGCTCAGCCAGAATGGCCTTCAGAGAACCCACTGAGTTCAGGGGTCAACTCTGGATCCATCTGTCATGACACAGGCTATCTTAAGGGCCCAGAGCCAAAGCTACGTGCAAATGCTGACGACCCTCAGGAAGTGCTGGTCTCAAACACGCAAATGTCGGCAGAACGACCCTTTTGCAAGCAGAGCAGCTACACTGCCATAAACCATGTAACACGCCCGCACAAACCCAGGGGTTGTAGCTGTGGTGTCTCCTGGGCCTCCAGCATCCTGCCAAGACTCCTTCAGACCTGCTTTTCTGACCTAGAGAGGCCTGGTACACAATGACCTGAAGTCAGAATGTCAGGGTGCAGTGCAGATCAAGATCCAGGCGTGTGCTCCAGCTGCTCACTGAACAATGCACGAACTGTTAGGATCTGAGCTCTCCACAGACCCACATACCTGACCTGCTGCCACTGCCCACGGGTGGCTGACGAGGGCACCTGCAACCCACCATTTCATCTCCCACAGGGGACAGCGGAAGGTCTGCATGTGGGTTCAGAACCTTGAGTTCCCCGCCAATATATGCCACAGGAATGGGCAATGACAAACACCTCATAGCCTGGTTCAAAAACTGATGGTATAGGGGCTGGGGATTTAGCTCAGCGGCAAAAGCGCCTGCCTGGGAAGCGCAAGGTCGTGAGTTCGGTTCCCAGTACCGGAGAAAAAACCAAAAAAAAAAAAAAAAAAACTGATGGTACCACTTGCTGGCTGTGTGACTTTCCATGAGTTATTCAACCTCCCTGTGCCTCAGTTTCCTTATCAGTAAAATGGAAAGGACATAAAAATCCCTAACAGTAGGGTTGTTGTGCTAAACTGAATTACTAAATGTAGACACCCGCACCTGGCATCCCTAAGTGTGTTAGTAAAAAATACCAGGTTTTTTTATATTCCACTGCTACTCATAATGTGTTTTCATCCACATTCATCCCATTTGTTCCCTACCAAGACCATGTAAACAAACTAGGTAGGAATTACCTTGTCCCCTTTATAGCAAGGCCCCTGGGATTCAGAGAAGATCACTTCTGAGAAGCCCTGCAAGTGGCCAAATCACCAAGCCACAGTCTTCTGCCTCTATTAGCCTATAAGTGCTATGGCCTCAGGGCCCTACCATGTTACACATTAGGCAACACAGAGATACAAATATGCCTCAGGCAGCAATGGACACAACTATAGTCACATTGGGGCCCATGGTGTAAGGTGGGACAAACCTTCACTCCAGGCCTGGTTGTTCTGCCTCATCCCAGATCACACATGGTCCCAGAACACACATGATCTTATTACCAGGGTTTGGGTGTGCCATAGGGTCCTCTGGAGATTCCCAGAGCAAAGAATTGGACAAAGCAAGCACAAAAGGTAGCAAGATTTGACATCTATTAAAGGTAGGAAAAGAAGTATGTTCTGCAGAGTGAGTGTGGGCCAATTAAAGTAAGAAAAGAAGTACAATATGCAGGGTGAAAGTGGGGCACTGAAAGAGCTCGCCATGGCCACAAGATTGATGGCTGTCCTGTTTTGTATACCCCCACCTCAGGCTGATGTCAGATCTAGATCATCCGATCAAAAACCTGCTTGATTTTACACCAAAAGAAGTAAAAACAGCACTTTCTGATTGGTCCCAGGTGCAGGGCTCGGACACATGTGTCCCGGATCTCTGTGACTGACAGGTGATGCCCATTTGCCCAGCCAGCTGGCCACACCCTAATATCCTGCCTCATCCCAGAGTACATGTGGCCCCAGAATATACACAATCCCAGAGCACACATGATCCCAGCATCTCTGTCATGCTGAGCAGATGACACTGGACACTGAGGATCCCACTGAGCCACACTGTGGTCTCTGGTGTGAGACAGTGATAATTTTGGAGAGATGAGCTGCCTGACTTCTGACTGAGTATCTAAGGACAACACAGCCAAGACACACTCCTGCCAGCTCCAAGATCTTGGAAAGCTGATGCCCCCAGCACACACACGATTTTGGAATCTTATAGTACAGCCAAGATGGAAGCAAAGACTAGAGTGGGAGCAGAGCAAGCCAGGGTAACAGAGGGAGGGAGAATTTAGCCCTCAGCACATGGAGGTCTGTACTCCTCCCATGTAGTGATAATTATTCAAAGCCCAGAAAACTCTGCTTTGCCCAGCAAAAAAAACCCAGATCCAATCTATCAAAGCCTGGGGCAGCCCTGAGGCTTGTTGGGTCCCTAAACCCCCATTTCTCTTCCCTTTGCCTCCAAAAACACCAAGCAGGGTAATAGCTTAAATGACAGGAAGACAGAAGAGACTGTTTCTGCTTTCTTTGCAACAGAGGCCATGAAAATTGAAACCAGCAGACCTGAGGAAAATATACAGAAAGAGGGCTGGGGATATAGCTCAGTGACACAAGCGCCTGCCTGGCAAGCAAAAGGTCCTGAGTTCGATTCCTGGTACCAAAAAAAAGAAAATATACAGAAAGAATCATAAAGAAGGCACAGCGGGTCACCCTTGTTCCAGTCAGATGGGGACCCCACCTTTCTCTCTGGTGTTTCATCCTCCAAGGATGTAACACTCTTTACAGCATCAGAACTGGACTAGCCAGGGAGCATCGGGCCAGGGCTGTGGGAGGCCAGGAGGGAGCAGAGCAAGACACAGAGACAGACTCTCTGTCTCTAGGAAAACCAGCAAAATGTTCTCTAAAGAACAAGAAGTCCAAAATGAAGTTACAGACAGCAGTGAATTCTGGCTTCAGTGGCCAAAGGAAAACAACCTCACAATTTCACATCTTAAAAAGTGAGTATGATGAAATCTATATTGTCTTTTGGCTTACAAAACAAAAAAAAAAAGACTTTCAACCATTTTTTTTTAAATCCACGAACCAGTCATGTTAGAACAATGCTAGGTGGGAAATAATTTGCTTGAAGTTCATTTCTTTTCAAATAATACTTGCTCTTTTTTGGAAACCACTCACCAAGAGTGCACCACAGATGCCCTGATGAGAACCACAGCTCCTGCCAGGGCTCCAGGAAGTGGGGAGCAGCCACAGGCTGCCTGCCAAGGTGCTGAGACCACCTGTGAGAGATGTGGTGGTAGAAACATGTGATGTCCCACTTCTATACCTGCCTGCAGGCTCACGAGTCCCCCCGCTCCAGTGGCCTTTCAGAGGTGGCCAAGAAGCAGAGCTGCTGCACAGCAGCAATATTGACCCTCATGAGGTCAGAAGAGGGCAGAGGTGGGGCGGGGACACTCATAGCTGCTTATGGAGAGCACTTCTAAAATGAGCTGGGAGGAGCAGAGGAAACCTACACAGGGAGATTCAGGATCACTAGAAAGATCCCGTTTCCCATAACCACAGGTCTCCTTTTTACACCTCTTTTCCCTTTTATTTTTAGACAAAGATTTTGACATCCCTGTGACCAGAAATCCACCCACATTTGTACTGTCCTGCCTGAAATCTCACCCTTGGGTTAGCTCAATACCCAGGTCCAGCCATCAGCCACAGCTAGAGCAGGTTTGTGATGCTCTGTGTCCAAGAAGGCAATGCTTCCTCTCTGGCCTGAGTGCAGTCAGGTAAGAGGCCAAGCAAGCAGGAAGGAGGGTGAGGCCAGAATGCAGGTGGGCTCTGAGGGTGGCTGGGAGGCAGCTGTGCCACCCCACTCTGTGAAACCCCAAGGTGGCCTGTGCTACTCACCTGGCCCATGAACAGCTGGTCTCTCTGGAAGAGGGAGCCTAGTGCACCCCTGGCCTCTTGTGCAGCCTCCTGCTCAGAAGGGGAAAGATTCGAGGTGGAAGGCCGCAGAGTCCCTCAGCACAGACCTGCTGGGCCTGGTTATGCAGGTTCCCTCTTCACCCTATCCCACCCATCTCTTCCATGGGTGGGAGGTGATAGACAGGAGCGTAGGACAGATGTCCAAGGGCCTGTATCTGCAGCTCAGCTGGGTGCCTGGACAATCCGCTTGGGTGACTGGGGGAAGCAGTGACCATCAGCAAACCCAATGGGCAGGAATCCTGTGTGCTTGCTCCTCCTGCTCTGCTCCCATAGCACTGCAATCCTTCCATCCTTCAATTCCCAATCCCTTCCCCATCAGCAACCATTCCGAAACACCCAGTTCATGGGGCTTGCACTGGTTGGTAAATTGTGTCAACTTGAGAAGTTTAGAAGTTTAACGAAGGGACTCAGGAGGAAGCCAGGGTCCTTACTTTGTAAACGTCCTCATCCATGTGGAAGAGGAGGGCAGGGAAATGGTGCGAGTGCTACACCTGCTGGGGGGAGGGGGTGTCACAATATAAGAGAGAAAAGGAGGCTTGCTTCTCCCCTTTTGCTCCTGTTGTTTTGCTGTCTTCTCCTGCCTTGAACTGTTGCCCCTCACCATGCCATCCTGCCTTGGAGTCAGCTCATTTTGGACTGAAACCTCCACAGACTGTGAGCTAAATAAACTTTTCCTTCCTTAATTTTGGGCACTGGGTATTTTGTTTCAGCAACAAAAGCAAAGTATCTGAAACAGGGCTTCAGTAACAGTTCGTACCACAACCACCTCCAAACTATTGTTAACACCATGAGTTATTTTCTTTGATGTATATGAATTGTTCACAATTCATGCTCTATATCAGCTTCTTGAGGTCCTTATAATTTAAAAATAATCCTAGCATACAGTATACAGAGAAGAATTTAAAGTACACATTGGCCAGACAACACTCATTTTTAAATACGAAATCTGAAACATGTAATTTAAGAAAATATGATGCTCATGAATTTACATGAAGGTCTTAAAACCAAGACTCACATGCCACACAATGCGTGTGTGGGTTTGGGCACAGCACTGTCTGCTCGGCCCTCAGTGATCCTAAGGCCCTACAGGGAAGGAACATTGGCCTCCTGAGGGGAAATGCTGGGACTTGGAGCAGCTACAGAGAAGGCAGGGAAAGGATACAGACTTTCATGTCCAACGATACAGGACATGACTC